ACATATGTTTCATATGTTTGTTGTTGTTTGATTTATCATCTACGGGTTTATGTCGAATTAATTTGATGGCCTGCTCCCAGTTGGCTTGTTAGCTCAATTGGTAGAGCGCTGCACTAGTATCGCAGAGGTCAGTGGTTCGAATCCCGTACAGGCCTGAAATTTTTTTCAGGTCTGATTTTCACTATTGCTCAAATAGTGCTTTACTGCGAAGGATCGTGCACATATAAATAGATATCTCATTAGCTCCTTTTGTTCTATACATTATGTTGAGGTTGAGTTGTGGCGCTGTATTGACCACCTTCAAAATTTGCTGCCGGATTAATATTCTTTTGTTTAAATTTAAATTAGCCTTTCCTGCCTCGCTTGAGATGATGTCTTCTTTTGAATTTTGTGCTGGAGAACGAGGCCAGGAAGGGTAATTTAAATTTAAACAAAAGAATATTAATCCGGCAGCCATTTATGAAAGTGGTCTATGAGATGGCAAAACACATGCAGCCATTTTCGAAATTCTAATTAAAGGTAGAAATTCAATTTTTAATCGACGTCTTCCTTGGCGTTGCCACCCTGATTGCTGATGGTCCCTATTTAAGACTCTGACAACAGTATCAGTTTCAATTCAGAACCTGGCGCGCTGGTTCGTGCGCTAATCAGCTCCTTACAATATGTTGTTGTCAGTTATAAACCGACAATTGCGATCAACGACCAATCAAACGTCCCCCCGAACTCTTCCTCATGAGTACATGCACGTAAAAGGAATATAAACCCAGCCGCCGTAACGAGTTTTAAAAAGTTGACTACTTTTGACAGAGAACTTCCCTTGATAACGGTAGCGCATTGATCTGAAGAAGAGCCTTGAACCGGTTTAAACTCCACCTTTTCACAAATTGTAATAGACCTACACTGCAGCGCCGTTTTTTTTTCGTGGATCGCCGACTGGTTTCTCTACCGCTGAAGTCAATATCTAGTTGGTGACCAGCTAAATTTTTCCCTTGCCTAACGAGGCCAACATCACAGATTCGTAGAAACTAACGACTTGGCAGAGGTGAACTCATCCTCGGAGACCCAGGGGCATTGAGTCGATTTCAAGTAAAGGGCAGAAGAGCCCCTGGGGACATTGTCTTACAAGACTAGTTCCAAACGGTCGCAGTCGTTCTGGCATCTGATTGGTGCCAGAAAATCTTTGTGTTTTTCTGCCCAATCAGAGTGAAGTGTCGTTTGGAGTCCTTTCGTGTGTTTTAACACGCACATATACAACAAGCTCTGTTGCTCGCTCTGTTTGTTTCGGCCGTGCGACGAAGCTTTGCCCAAGGTGAAAAGTTTCAGTCTCAGCACACAATGTAAGAGAAATCGATCAGATTGTCCGCGAAATCTTACCGGAAATTATACTGAATACTTTCGCAGGTATCACAAGAGAACGTGTTCAAAAGTTTGCGAGGTTCGTATAAAACATAATGGTTGCAGGCATTGATATGTCGCTTTAAACGTTAGATGAGATGCAAGCTTAAAGCTTTCAAGATTTTTTGAACAATTTGTTGTGACTGAAACTTTTCCAATCCCGTGAAGTTGTTTCGTCGCACGGGCCACGCAGGTATGTCAAGCATTTGGCGCTTATGCTTGCGTAGCTTTCTGTGCGCGCCAAATTCTAATCATTGCCTTGTGGTTAAGTCTTAACAATATGGCCAAACTTGGAGATAATGTCAAGTACGTGGAAGACCTCCAGCAAGCGCTTAAAGAAAGCTTAGCTGTGTTTCCGGTTATCTAAAACCTGAACAAAAACTAATCATCGAGAACATCGTGGAAAGGAGATGTGTTTTCGGACAGTTACTGAAGGGGTTTGGAGAAAGTTTCATCTTTCAACTGCTGCGTTGAGTGTTCAAATTCTTGAGCTCGAAAGGCCACGGATTCTCTTCTAGTCCCTTGGTCATTGTCATTTCACCTCTTTTGTCGATTGTTGAAGACCAAGTTAATTACCTTTGATCATTTGGAATCGATGCCGCTTTCATCGGGGAAAACAAAACCAAAGACCAAGAAATATTGGATGGAAAGGGCGGGCTTGCTTTATTGTAAATGTCAGCTTAGTACAGGGTTATCTACCCACATCTAATAAACAAAAGTTTCCACGTTTAGCTTTTACTTTTAATTTTTCAAGCGAAGATTAGATTAGTTATTGGCCGGGCGACCACAAAAAAATGCGTAAGCGCCAGTTGCTCGACATACCTGCGTGGCCCGTGCGACGAAATAGCTTCACGGGATTGGAAAAGTTTCAGTGACAGCAAATTATACAAAAAATCTTGAAAGCTTTAAGCTTCCATCTCATCTAACGTTTAAAGCGACATATCAATACCTGCAACCATTATATTTTATACGAACCTCGCAAACTTTTGAACACGTTCTCTTGTGATACCTGCGAAAGTATTCAGTATAATTTTCGGTAAGATTTCGCGGGCAATCTGATCGATTTCTCTTACATTGTGTGCTGAGACTGAAACTTTTCACCTTGGGCAAAGCTTCGTCGCACGGCCGAGAAAAACAGCGAGCAACAGAGCTTGTTGTCTATGTGCGTGTTAAAACACACGAAAGGACTCCAAACGACACTTCACTCTGATTGGGCAGAAAAACACAAAGATTTTCTGGCACCAATCAGATGCCATAACGACTGCGACCGTTTGGAACTAGTCTTGTAAGACAATGTCCCCAGGGGCTCTTCTGCCCTAAACTTGAAATCGACTCACTGCCCCTGGGTCTCCGAGGATGAGGTGAACTTGACATTTCAGAAACGGCGATTAATTCGCTGAGAAACTGAAATCTGAAACGACCTCGCTGCGTCATCGTTTCAATCACGAATCCTGCAAGCAGATTTATCGATCCTTTACAACTGTCCACATTGCTGTATTTGGCGTAATGCCAAATGTATTTATGACGCAACGTTCGACGTCATGATCAGAGACTTTGTTTGCTCAAGCGAAGCGATGACTTAGCAGATCTACCACATTTTACTTTAGGTTTAGCTTTTATTAAAAAAAATATTAAAAACAACAACACCTGTCGAGCAGTTATCTGGATACCTTAACCGTCACAGGTATAAGATATTTGCTGAAAATGAAACTTTGCTTAAAATTCCTGGTATAATCAGCGGTGCGAATTATGACGGCAAATGTTTGCCCTAATCGTCGCATTTAAAACTCAATACAAAAAAATATCTATTTCGAAGGGTTTCGACCAGCTACGACGTGCTATTTATTATTCAAATGAATAAGGGCTGATAGTTTCAAAAGAAACTGTTTGGGGCCGCGTCGGTGGGAGTAACGAAATCGAAGGGCTCCGACGAAGGGCTAACAATCGAAACGTCAACTTTTGTAATCTTTACGGTGGTCAATTTACCATTTCAACTTTGTTGATATGTCCAAATTATTTATTATTCAGTTCTTCGCATTACGGCGTGGTAAACGGGTTGTTATTTTGGAATGATTGTCAGTACTTTCTTATGGACGTAGCACTAGCGTGATCAAACCTATTATGCCTTTGATATTCCCAAATTCAAGATCTGCTGACTGTAAAGTCACTGCTGTCAAAGTTGACATCAGAAGAGATTATGAAAGGCAAATAAAATCCTCCGTATGGGGTTGGCTCCAAGCATGAATACATTTGCATATGATACTGCTTAATAAGTTGCAAAGAGTGAAACATCATGGTTTAAAGTTCACTTGGTTTTAAAACAACATTGGCCAAAAAGATGTATCATTTTCCGCTGAGAAATATGGTTGGGGAGATACGACTTCGATTTGAAAGGAAAGTGCCTAACCTCAAAATGGTTCACGAAAATAAATTTTTCCGGGTTGGTCGAAACGTCGCCTGAAACTGCTCAAATCACATCATGCCTTTTCTGCCGGAATAGGTTTCGTTTAAAGGAAAACTGCTTAAAATTAGTCAGCAAGGGTCACTGTTTGGCTAACATCTTTTAAATCAACACTAATCATGATATACGAAGAGTTATTTACCCCGATTCCAGACCACAGACCAGAACCTTCGGGTCCACCTTTGCTCACATAGATAAATCCACATATTAACTGGATAAACGCTGATATTCCAATCAGAATGGAAATTATTCCCGCAGCCTTTGCCTTTCCTTCCTCCACAAGATCGCCGTTCATTGTTGAAATTTTTCAAACGAGTACCTTTTCAAAACAGGAGCAGAGGGCGCGAGCACTGTGCCTTGAAACAAGATACGAATACATTACGATCTCTTTGTTTCTGATACTGTTTTGCATGTAACTAGGACAACATGAACATGTCACCTTCTTCTTTTGAAACGATGTGCCGCACGCAATAACAAACATTGCGAAGATTTCGACTCAAACGCTTTCTAAAAGACGCAATAAACATGATATGAAACATCAGTTTGTAAACTTGACCGAACATTGATATCCTCAAAGTTCAATATTGGGACATTCATCACAAAATGAAAGTGTCAAAAAAGATAAAAATTTGGGCATTGTGAAAAACATTGCTTTTCTGACGTAACAAGAATTAGGTCATATGGTCGAGCGAATCTCTTTCTCGTTCCCAGATCCTTTCGTTAACTCTAGCCTCAATAAGCCTAGAAAATTTTAAAAACGTTTCTGGTCAATACATCTGTAGCCTTCCTAACTTCATCTTTACTAAGGAAAGAAAATGTTTAGGACCATAAACGCTCTGACTTAAAATCTTTTCAATACGGCTATCCTTCACCCAATCTCCCCCGGCTCTTTCGTAGCCTGTAGCTGTGTATTCTGATTTTTTAAAAATGATTGAAGTCTGTCGAAATCCTTAATATTCACGCCGTTCTCTGATTTACATACAATCTTACAACCCTGGGATCCCGGGGTGAAATTGTTGGAGCGCTTTAAGGTAACATGAACGTGACTCCAGCCAAGCGGGTTACTCCACTTTGAGACGTTTGCATCGTAGACCGGGCAATCAGTCTGGGCGTATTACCCCACCTATCATATCATCTAATCTAAACGTAATCAGACAAAATGAGAGATTATATGGAAAGGCAGTTTACCCCACCTGGGTTATCACCTCACTTACCTGAGGTCCCTTAGCTCCATGTAAACAGACCTTTACTTTCCTTTCCCGATTCATTCCACGCTAGCTAGTCCAAAAACTACCTGATTACTCGCAATCACTACATTGCTAACGTAGAGATTTCATCAGATCTTATTCACCATGGTGGGTATACTTGTGTTACTATAAAAGGTTATAGAATTAGCCATAGAACTAAGAGATTCATCGTCTCCCTCACGGTCATCATGCAAAAGAATCTTTCCACATGTTGCTAGAGGTTTGGACTGTTCGTAATCGCAAACTATCCATTCTTTCGCGATAACTTCCCTTTCTTTGGCAATTGTCTCAGAAGGCAGAAATTCCTAATAATGAACAAACTGGAAATGCATACTAGACTGGGGCACTGAGTATTGTCCTTATTATTATTATGATTATCATTATTATTATTATTATTATTATAACCGCAGAGAAATCAACTGAATGCTACATTCTAATCAGGCAGCACAGGGCGAAAACCGTAACCTGTGAGCCATGGAGTAAAAAATAAATGTACATTAACTAATCCTAAAAAGCTTTTCCGTTGTGTCTACAGTCCTACCTCTAACGGGAACTCAAACTGCCACCTTGAAAGTCCGGGCAATATTCAGCGTGCCCGAGAGCGCTGCCCTCTGCATCTTTCGCAGTACGTCTGTGCTTCTGCCTCCCACCAGCTCGCGCATCATGACATCCAGCTCCCGTGACCACCCCCCGAGGGCATCCATAATGATGTTATATTGCTTCACCTCGTAGCCTGGGAACTTCTGCCTTAGTTCCCAGCGAGGGGGTCCGTACTTCAGTGTCTTCTCTTCATCCTTTCTTGTTCGATTGTTAACCCACGGGCAGCTCATTTCTAGCGTCACAACTCTCTTGCACATATGATTTACAATGCGTGCATCCACCCTATTGCATCTGACCTCTTGTTGATCAGCATATATAGGGACATCCCAATAAGCTTTAACATTCTCTGACTCATACACGGGCTTCGGCTTGTCGGGTGAGTACCAGGGTGGTATCTCGTCTATAAATCCCTCATCATACAACAGTTCGTAAAACAGTACCTTCAGTGCTGCGTCGTGTCTAGAGAGATACTTGCTCTGGGCCAGCGCACTGCATCCTGACAAGATATGAGCCACGCTCTCTGGAGCCTTGCCGCATAATCTGCACCTCACCTCGCCTTCCCCGCTTGTGTGGGTCTTCTGACTCGTGTATACTCGCGTTGGCAATAGCTGCTCGTATAGGGGAATCCTTGTTTACAATATTTGCCTCATTAGCATAAGCAATTCAGTTTCTGATGGAGCTAAAAATAAATCAGTTTTGAATATCGAAAGGTCAAAGTACGATTAACTCGGCCAATGAATACGAGCCTGATGCATTG